CCTCGCGCTGATACTGAGTGCTGAGATTCGAAAGGTTGGCTTTTTATTCTCGACCCGTGACGCAGAAGTACACTACGGTTCGTTTGTTTCTGTCGTCAACTAATTGAACACTGCTGAGTAAAACACTACCCGGTAAGTGAAGGTCGTAGACAGGTGGATGAGGCTTGACGGGCAGGAGGAGCCCAGCTTCGAATCGAGCCCGGACCGTTTTGGGGATTTTTTTATCAAGTTGTGCCTCTTCTATTTAGATTTGAACTTCAATAGGGACGGTTGTGGTCAGCCACGCCACCTGCCGCGGCCTTTTTCGGCTAGACGTTGAGCATTTACCGAGAATCGGGATTATGCCAGGACCAGGACGACAAGACGGACAACTTACAATGCTTAGTAAATGTTGTACAACGAATTACAACCGAACAAGAGGCCGGGAACAAGGCAAACAGCCTCGTTCTGGACAACGTTCACTTGGTCTGGACCTTTGTTTTAAACTTCTATTTCATCGGTCTTGGAAACATAAGCTAGTGAGCACACCACCCAGCTCAATTCGAATGCTTGTGGAATTTGGTGGGCTGGAACGTTTCGTCGCCACTCCCACACATATTCATTTCCATAAATAAGCTCTGTGAGAATCAATCAAGATGGAACCCACTCGGGTCCACTACTCAACTTAAAATGGCCACACCGGAACACACGATCTAGCGGCTCCACCGGGTTCATATTGTCTACTTTCGTCGACTGATTTCCTTGCCCTGAAGAGATATTGCCTCGAAGACTCTCCGCGAGCTGTGGTCATTGAAGGCTGCCAGGTTCCGACGATCATGCGAAGATTTCTGAATATCATGAATAGGTGACAATCTCTTTGCCGTTTTGTTGCCGGTCATAAAACTGTCATACCGTAAATCTCACCCAATCAGCTCGGGCAGCAAATCTGCCACTGCGCTGTTGGAGGTCGTCCAGGACACCGGTTTGGCTCTTTGCTCCCCCCTCATCGCTCCTCGGTTTCGTGCTAGATCGTCGGCTCGTCTTGCTTTGCGCTGCTACGTTGGTCGAATGCTGACAATGGTTTAGGCGCCGGAAGCCAAATCCCCGTGTACGCAAGACCTGAGGCCAATCCACAACTTTCGCTCCCACACAACGGTCTATACAGCATAGTGCCGCTTCCTCTCACTTCCGCCGCCTGTGGCCAAACAGCGCAGTTCGACGGGTCGAAGTAGCTTACGGATAACTACCCAACCCATTTCGTTGGGAATGGCTCTCACATAATAGCCGCACGGAATGGCAATTGCGATTTTGTGAATAATTTTTAAGATTTTTTTCCCCCAGCTACCGGCTCATGCTAGGCTCCCAAGTTCGTGAACGATGCAGGTTTCAACCCATGCGAATGGACTCCGGAAGAGATTTGCCAAGGCGCGCCATCCATTTACGATCATCGTCTCTATTCTTACGCTCGGCCAAAGGGTCTACGAGAGGGAAGTGTACTTGCTCCGGCATTCTCTATCTAGTCTGGGCTGCATGTGATGCCTGCTCACCCCTGCCAATAAATACAACGTAGCGTTCTTCCTTTGCGTGTGAGCTTCCACTGACCCCGGTTGGAGTTGGGATGACTACGGCATTCAGATATTCAATTGTTCTGGTCTTCCTCAGCAGTTCGTTATCGCCATTTATCGGACAGATCAAACAACTTACTCCACATTCTAGGTTTCCGCCTCCATTTCCAAGTCAGCTATTTAGGGATCATATGGTGCAGTCATTCTGATGTTATTTGCCAGCGGGAGATGAAGCATTTCCATCTTGGGCTTTCTCGATGGCCTCTGCCACTCCCGAGGTCCGTGATTTTACTACCACGTCATCTGTCTTAACAACCATGCAGCCCACAATTTTCGACTTGGCAGCAGCTTCAGCCTTCGTCCTCAGACCTTCATTCACTCCGCCTCCGCCTGCGCCACCACCCACATCGACCCCGGATCCGCCCCCAACTACCAACGGGGCCACCTCAAAGAGCAGAGCGACCAGCGCGAGGAGCGTGAACAGCTCGGCATCCCTCCCATCCACTGGCTTTCCTAGCTCGCAGGGCATAGCACCATCACATGGGCTGACAGTCCCATCGTCGCCGCCTATTACAGTGAGCGTCAGCAGCGGGATACCGTCCCTCCCACCTCGGCTAGCTCACAACAGAACCAGCTGTCCACACACGGGTACAGTTTATATCTCTACAGGTGCAATGCGGTCTGACGCTTGTAATTCCCTCAGGAATTCATTCCCCGCAGGGGCAATCGCTGGAATTATTATCATCGGAATCTTCTTGATGATAACCCTGGCCGTATTGCTTCTCTGCGTACGTCGTCGACGGCGACAAGGCGTGTATGTGGCCTCTCCACTCCCTATTACCTCGCCATACGCCGACGACAGGTACGGCAATCGAACATCGGGGCCTGGGGCTCTGACACCCGCCCTGCCCCTACAGCTTCTACCACTGCCTTTCCCGACGCTCCCCCCGCCCATCCAACGCCAGCGCATGGAATGACTCCGACGCACCGCTCGTCCGTATTGGCCGACAACACCTCCAAACCGAGTCGCGCGCCGCGCAAAAATCGAAGATCCTCCATAACAAGGAGTGGGATAGCAGCCCATCGTTCGATCCTGCCTCCCAGCCACTCTCCCTCTTTCTTCGAAGTGAGAGGGATTTGGCTATCCTCCAAGACAATTCACGTTGAAATACGACCCGGACATGTACAGTACAAACACTCGTTCTGGAAATAATATTTATGTGTTTGGACAAAGATTGGTGGACAGTCTCTATCAAGAAATGCATATGAATTAGGCTGGATTGTCCAGCCCAGTTATAAATCAATCCCTGACCGAAATTACGTATGCCGCTCAGTAATAAACGTGTTACCATTCTGCCCTGCGACGGCAAATCTTCGTGAAATCACATTGCCATAGGCAGATTGGTACTTTCCCGCTTCGCACTGGGGCAAGGAGATTTTGACCCAGCATGACCCAGCACTGACGTTTGACGAATGCAGCGTCAGTTTGCGTCCGTTGAATTTTGCGTGAGTGGGTCAAACTTACCTTTGCTGCCATCCTTGAGGTTGATATCCCGCCGGCATCTAAGTGGTCCTTATTATATTATTTACAATAACAACATACCCAGCTTGTTGCCGTTGAGGGTGTTTAAAATCCTTGACTAAAATCCGTGCAGCGTCAGTTAGCGTCAGTAAGGACGGCAGGTCAACTCACACAAGAATTAGACCTACCGGAGCGGTAGCAGGATCTGCTAAGAACATCTGAGAATTATCCAACAAATTTAAAGGTCCGGTTGCGGATGGTCCGCACCTGTATTCGATTAATTGTACAAGTGAATCTTGGCTGGCAAGAGCAGCTCGTTCCTGGGCCATCACGATGGGGATTTGTTTTTGTTCGCTCTTCGTTTTCTTTTGACTGGAGCTCCATGCACCCGTGCCGATACTGACCAGACATTGGGTACTCAGCAATTTTATAAGGAGAAAGCTTTGACGAATGAAGGGTTAATACACCGATCAGGGCTTTCAATGCGAACCAGTGATCCCCGTGGTTCAATAGCCTTAGCCTCTACTTCTGGCCTTGCTCTCAAGGGAGAACTTTTTCATTGAGCCGCAGGATGATTAACCATTCTTAACGAGATGGTCCTAAAAACCACATGGCTGGCGCCTGTCCAAGGGCAGGAGACAGGGAAATTTCTGCAACACATTTTATAGGACGCACACGCACACGGCTGTTACAACCTTGCCATTAGACTACTGTAGCATTTCGTTCAATTCTAATCAGCTGTGACGCGTGACCCAAAAACTCGAACTTCGATATTCGTATATCGGCCGAGCAGACGGTGACACGAGAAAAAAATTCGTATATTCGGCATGTCCAGTTGGGTCGAAAAACCTTCCCAGCATGAGGTATGTTGAACTGATTTAGTTCAAACTCAATTTTTTTGAAGATTTTTGAAGCAAAACATGCAGCGGAGGCAAATTTGAATATTTGGTTCATCTTTCACCAACTTTGTGACTTGTTTCGCATGTTCGAAGATCCCCTCGGTGACCCGTGACATGTACGAAAATTTTCGTATATTTTGCCTGCCGTGACGCGTGACATACGAATTGATTGAAATGCTACAGTAGTTCACGAACTACTCCTGCACACATAATCCCATCATCAGTCTGAGATAGATTTCTCCCCTATTCAGAATAATCAGTGAAAGTTCGTACAGGCTGATTGCAAGAAATACGAACCCTTGGGGGCATCGAGAATGACGTTGAACACCAGGTTACCGGTGACCTTGTACTGCTGAGGTAGGCCTGGGGGAGCAAGCCCACCAGTAACATGTGCACCCGCATGTGGCATTGACGCTGGCATTCCCCGAGTTCCCACAGAACGCACTCGCCTTGTACTGCGAGACACCGTTCGACTCGGGGCGCAACCATTCCTGCGCTCAGTGATTCGACAACGCCGCGAATCGGCGCACCTTCCACTCGGAGTGTGAGTTATGGGTGATACCGCGGGGGACGGTTGATAGATGGAAGATCCAGGGATCGATCACGCTTGTCTTATGGTCTCGGTCATACACGCGGATTTGTCTATAACATATAAAAATTTCGACTGTCTTAATTTTTTTTAAATTGTTATAGAGTCTGACTATGGGAGACTAGCGGATTTGGTCTTCACTTCGCAGATGTTCGCATGGAATCGTAGAGCGTTCGTGGGTAAATAAGTGCCACAACGAGGAGATCTGCGTCGCGTAAGTACTAAGTTGAGAAGTCGTTTCCTGCGGATGAGGTTAGTTACTTAGTTTCATTTTGCAACTTGGTCTAGGAATCTTATGCTCTCATTTGGTAGAATCAGTCAGCCCTCGTACCCTAAGCTCGGCCTAGACTTGCAATACCTCAATGGCAAACTATCGACCAAGGATAACAACCATCGTTTCTACCACGGAGTACTTCAAGGTCTGATCGTAATTATATCGCAGCGAAGGCCCGTGGAATGCGGTATGCATCTGCTTGATGTTATACCGTTCAATATACAGTATGCGCAGACAGCCCCGGTTCGACTCCGGGCCGGGCCATACATACACAAGGTTGCAACGTTTTTTCCCTTCCCGAATCCACTTTGTTGATTCACACACTGACCGGTGGGTGTGAATAACGTGAAGTTCTAGTCTCTGCTATTAGACTTTATATTATGATTGTTGGGCTCACTCACCCAAATATTTAATATGAACTCCCAGCAACTGGCGAATAATTTGAATTGGAACTGTACCGAATCTCAAGGTTCTGCATTGACGACTAGGGAGAATTTACGGCTCCTAATAAGGGGCTTGTAGAATGAGGGAAGGCCCGGTAGCGTATGGTATGCATCTGCCTTGGATACGGAAGTCAGGTATGGAATATAAGCAGATAACCTCGGTTCGACTGCGGGCTGGGCCATGCATGAATTCTCGAAAACACTTTTTTCTTCCCCAAGTTCAGGGCACGGATTCGGATATGTCAAGCGCTGGGTGTGGATCCTGTCAGCGTCGCCATAGAATGGGTTGCAGTAAATACAGTCTCTTTTCATTCAATTAATTCGTCGGTCACCCGTCACAGGGGGGTTGACGGCAACGAACTTTGGTCGTTGGCACACATCACCAAGGCGGTTGACGAATATGTTTATTGGTCACGGTTGCCCTAGAAGAAATGGCTGCAATATTCGGAAAAATAATCTCGTGCATTCAGAAACTGCAAATTTAGTTGTCAAACCAATTTTTGTCATGTTTTCGTCGCGGAAGGCAGGTTTCCAGCTAAATTTTTACTGAAAACAAGCGAAATCGAGGCGAGAAGCATGCAGAAGTGGCTTTATCTAGTGCAGACATCCAATGGAGCGGGAAAATGGTCAGACACCAAGATCCAGTCTGTACCAGTATCATCTGGGACTCCGACGAATTTTTTGGTCCTAGTCACTCTCATTCTTGGGGTTAACGGAGTGACGAAATGGTTCAAAATGTCACACGTCACACCCCTGTCGAATTGAATGAAAAGATACAGTACTATCTGCGACTGGCTATCCGGCCAAACTAGCTATCCGGCCACTTGGGTCATATATGAGTATCAGTATGACTTTTGGTTAAGGTTGTCCTCGTATATTGGAAGGCATGTACATGCGACCCCTGAAACCAAATTTGAGCCCATTTGATGAAGTTGACGTGATGCTGTGCCTGATCTCCGGTCGGCGGGTGGTGCCGCACACGTGTTTTCTTATTTCCGGCTGATCACTGCCTGTCAGAAATCGCCTCTTGCTCGATGACCTCTTCGTTGTTCCACGACTTCCGGTGCTCGTCTTGTTCGTAGGACATCTGGCTACATCTCAGCATCCATCCGACTGTCCGCAGCGTCACCATGTGTTGCTATACTCTCAAAGATCGGTGCCATAATGTTAAAATCCACATCAAAGGCAGCGTGCTCGCCAGCACTTTATCGGACGCCATCGTAGTGCTACAGTTATGGAACTCGGTATGGGCAGTCAGTATAGTCAATGCACTCCCTTTATGATACTGATACTATTTTATCGATTTTATTTCGGTGTTATTGAGGCCCGCTTCGTGGATCGACCATTTCACGAAGTCCGTGAGATCGAGTTTTTTTTGGGAAATGAACAACCTTCGCGGTGGAACTGGCGCCTTTGGTACGTTCATATACCTCCTTTGGTGATGATCCTAGCTTGTCTTGGATGTGCACCCCATTTTGGTGCTGTACGGCGGCTCCTTATCGGAGGCTATCGGCCAGTTTTCGACATATCGCTTTGCGCGATCTATATCTGTTGGCGCCTCTCACCATGTCTATTTCTTATTCAGTATAATGTTTTCCATCCCCCCTGTGAGATTCTATGGCTTCTCGAGCGCTCTGTGCTCGCATATAGCTGGTGTGCCCGTCCCGCATTCTGACGCATCTCTGCCAAACTCTCGTGTCCTTTCACCCATAGTTTCATGCCTTCTCGTGCGATACTTCATTCCGACGCGCCCGCTGCACCGACCGAGCCTACCAATGGTGGTACCACCATGGAGCGCGCTGAATTGCCGGTCGACGCTCATAATTGTGACGACGGCGATCTCGAGCATCTCCCTTATGAGAGACGAGTCCAAATGGCTGTTGCTGCTTCTCAATCGGGTCTCATGTCCGAACGCAAGGCTGCCATCTATTATCAAGTTGCTTGTACGACTGTGCAGGACTGCGCCAAAGGTGCTTTGACCCGCAATGACGCCCACCTCCACGAGCGCAAACTCACCCAGCCGCAAGAGGATGTACTGTCTGAATGGATTAAAGTGAGGTCTTGTGTTCGCCGCTCACCCTCGGTATCTAACTTCGAGAAGAACCTTGGGAAGCGCGGAATTCCTCTCAGTTTGCCGACCATCGGGGCCTACGCAGCCGAGATCTACGGAGGACCACTTGGCATGACCTGGGCGACACGCTTCAAAAAGTGTCGCCCGGACCTCAAAGTCAAATGGACCAGCAGCCTTGAAGAGTGTCGTGCTCAAGCCCTGAACCGGCCTGTTGTCCACGACTACTTCACTCTCCTCGCGGATACCATTCAGAAGTACGACATCAAGCCCAAGAATTTGTGGAACATGGATGAGAAAGTGATTCAATTTTCTGGCTTCTGCTGCGTGTTCTAACCTCGTACTTAGGGCATCCAACTTGGGGTCGGCGACCGGATCCGTGCTCTCGTCGACCGTGATCAGAAGGTTGTGCAGAAGATTGAGAGCGGCAATCGGGATCTTGTCACCATCATTGAATGTATCAGTGCCGATGGAACCGCGCTCCACCCTTCCATCGTCTTCCAGGGCCAATGACACGATTTGCGGTGGGGAGAGGACAATCCCTGCAATGCTAGGTAAGTTCATCTTACGAATTCTCCTCTGAAGACTTACGTACTGTCAAGTATTTCGATCTCACCGAATGGGTGGACAGATCAAGAGTTGGGTGCTTTGTGGTTGGAGAAAGACTTTGCGCCCGTGTCTGCCGAGCGGTTGGACGATCCTGGCGACTATCGTCTTCTCGTCTTAGATGGCCATAATAGTCACTGCACGTATAAATTCATCAATTTTGCGCAGGTAGACACATAATCTCGATAATTGGATTGACGTACTTACTTGATATTTTTCTAGAAACATCGGATCATTGTTCTTTGTCTTCCCTCGCACACAACGCACGCTCTTCAGCCTTGCGATGTCGGCGTCTTCGGCCCCCTCGCGGCCAGATGGAAGGCCAGAGTTGGTTTCGTAAGTTCAGCTGCAATTTCTTTGAGCCATGTCCGAAAAATTGACAGTAGTCGTTCTGTTAATGTAGATACATGCACAAGGTGTTGTGATTGATAAATACAATCTGCTTGCGAACTATGCGATTGCGAGGGATCAGGTGTTCAAACAAAGCACAATTATCTCTGCCTTCCGAAGATGTGGTATATATCCGCTCAATGAGAACGCCGTCCCAGATGCACTCTTTGCGCCCGCAGAGAACTACACAACTCAGGCTGCTATGCCGGTTGCTGCCCGTCTGCCTTCCTTGCTAGCTCCCGTCTCGGCAGGCACGACCGCGGGATCATCTTCCGATGCGACAACTGCTAGTTCACGTGTTACACGTTCCATCTCTACGAGCCAGACGACAACTTCATCAAACCAACAGAGTTCGTTGAATAAATTCAATGACATTCGCATGCTGACAATGATCAGATTTATCTCGCATTTCATCGCACTCTACTGCCACGACTGATACCTCACAGCTCCGTCCATCGACTTCGACCTCTTCCACCAACTCTATCACCACCTCACACTCCTCCACTGCCTCCACTGCAAACAATACATCATCGTTGAACCAGCCCCGTCCATCTATTCCTCCTACCAACCGAGTCAGCACATCGCACGACGCATTGCAGGCACGATATGCGTTCCGCGCAGCGTACGCCCTTGCTATGCCATCACCGATCCGGAAGACAGCATCGCGCAAGGCCTTGGCGGCAGAGGTCGACCAGCTCCACTCGCTCCTCAAGGGCGTAGGGTATGATCTTGACCATAACTACGGGCACATGGTTTTGATGGAGCACGAGAATAAAAATATGCGTCAGCAGCTCTTCGCAAGGAAGAACAAGGCGAAACGGGCATACACCACTGGGAAAGCTCGCCTCATGACGAGTACTGAGATGCAGGAGGAGTTGTTGAAAGCGCTTCAAAAGAAGCAGATGGCTGAAATGCACGCCGGGTTGAAGAAGCTCTTCCCCGCGATCAAGAAGCAGATCAGCGAGGCGCTGAAAGCTGAGAAAGCGGCGGCAAGGAAGGGGGAGCAAGAGGTGAGGGCTGCGGCGAAGGCAGCGGAGAAGGCGGCCGCCAAGGCTGCGAAAGCGGTCACAGGGTGCGGGCGGGGGCGGGGTGGGGCGCGCGGTGGCCGACGACGAGGCGTTCGTGGCTCAGGGGCTGTTCGGGGGGTAGGGAGAGGTCGAGGAAAGGCCCAGGACAGCAGTGATGAGGAAGAATCGGGTCCAGAGCCCGATACTTCTGAAGACGACTCAGACATTGGCGAACGCAGCGCCAGCGCAAGCCCTGGCCCCAGCGCAACGAACATCGAATCATCCGACGAAGAAGCTGATTCAGACGAACCGACTGAACCCGCAAGCCATGGCTTGACCGCTCCTCTTGAGCCGCAGTATGTCTCTGACGACGACGACAAGTCCGACCAAGAGGAGACCGGGATCATCTCTTTCAACGGGCACCGGTGGGAGTCTCGCCGCAATCTGCAGTTCCAGGTGGTGTGGAGGGACGGCGACGTGACTTGGGAGCCATTGTTCAACGTCAATGACTGCACAGCGATGGAAGGATATCTAGCGCACCGTGATGTCGACGACCCGTTGCGGTTATCGAAGCGGAAATTCCTCATTGATAAAGGGCTGAGGGCGAGTAACGAGTAGTTTTGATGTTGTAGAGGCCTGTTGCATCCCTGGAACTCATCGGCTGTATTTGCGGTTGCGTGAGGAAAGTAGAGCGAGCGCAAAATCGCAGGCAAACGTGGCTGACTGAGATATTCCCACGCCTGGCCGGCT